TCCCTCTCCCTCTCCCTCTCCCCTTCTCTCTCTCTCTCTCTCTTTATTTTTTAGTCCTGGGGATTGAACCCAGAGCCTCTGCACTAAGCTACATCCCTAGCCTTTTTTATATTTTAATTTCAATTTTAGTATTTTTTTTCCCATTTAGTTTATTGGTACACTCTAGGTATATAATACAGTTACATTCATCTTTGGGATCTTGTACCTTTACATCATGTATCTTGGTTATTTTTTCTCAATTATATTACGAATAAGTGTATTTCAAGACATAATTTTAAACAAATACTGATATTAAGATCGCTGATTTAAGCTGCCCAAGCTAGACTTGAACTTGCCATCCTCCTGAGTCAGCTTCCCGGAGTGCGGGATTACAAGTCTCCACCTCCACACCCAGCAAACAGGGACTTTTGTTAGCATAAGTAATTTTATATGTGTGCATTCAGTGTATCGTTGGAGGCCATATGAGGATGTGGGGCCAGTAGGAGTTTTGTAAATATTTGTTAAATGAGTGAATAAAGCTCTAGCTTTGAAACCAAAGATTCAAAAATTACTTTTGGACAAATGCAAATAATAATGTGGAAAGTATACTTTCTCTGTTTCTAATGTGAGCAAATTACTTAGAAAATTTAAAATTATCAATTCATAGGAATAAATACCATAATTTAAACAGTCTAGCCATGTTTTCATTCATTTTATTTGTTTGTTTGGTTTTTTTTTCGTACCGGGGATTGAACTTGGGTCCTTGTGCTTGCGCAGCATGTGGCGAAACCACTGAGCTAAATCCCCAGCCCAGATTTCCATTTTTAATAAGAAAACTTTTTCCATTCGGAGTGCAGCTGAGTCCATGGGTTGTGGGAAACAAGGTAGGTGTTTCAGGTCCATATCTGCATGGACCAAGTGAGATGGTAGAGCCTTTATTTGGGAATAGTAGTGAGATGTGTTTTTAAGTTTTTAAAAACATTTAATTGGATTCCAGTGTCCTTAATCATTAACTGTGTGAGATTTAGATAACTCAAGCTTAGACTGATTTTTCAGTGTTACATTAGATGGTTTTTATTTATTTATGCAATATTTTGAAATTACTTTGGAAAAAATCTTTAATGGGAAGTCAGTAACTATTTGATATTAAAATGGATAACAATGGGTGGAAAATAGAGAAGCTAGATATTTTAGACCCATATAATTTTTATGTAATTATAGTTTATGTATCATTTTAATATATTGTCCTCTATTTTAGGTTTTGAAAACACTGAATTGACTCCTCTCGCTGCGATATGTGTGAAAATATATTCTGGAGGAAAAGAATTAAAAGTGGATGGTTCCGTCCAAGTGTCTCTCCCTCTTCTGAGCGCGAATCATCTAAGTGCCGGGGATCGCATTCCTGCTTGGACATTCGACATGAACACGGGTGAGTTGGCTGGGCAGACATCTCTGAGTAATTGAAGATTCCACTTTAGAATTTGATATAGCTCTAGCCTTCCAGTGACACGACTTCACACACTTTGTTAGTAACCAAAATGGACCCGATTTTGATTAATATGGGGCCGGGAATTTAGCTCAGTGTTGCCGCCACCTGTCTTGCAAGCTCAAGGTCCCAAGTTCGATCCTCAGTGCCAAAAACCAAACAAACAAGCAAAAAAATAATTATGGGCAGATATGATACCTATACATTATGTCAAAAAATAGTGTTTTTGAGTCACAGTGTCTTGCATTTTTTATACTGCCAACATTTTAAGGCAGAAAAAATTTTAAAAATCTACCCTTTTAAGAGTTTTTGTTTTGATAGGCAACATACCCTTATCTAAAAGCTTAGTTAAAGCAATTAAATAATGTAGACTAATTTCATAAAAATAGAAACATTATGTGGTGAAGAGAGTGGAAATATAGAAAGGATTAGTTTTAGTGTTGTGTAGCACCGTAATTATTAGGGTAATATTGTCTGCAACAATATATAAAATATTCCAAAATAAGTAGAAAGGGGAGGAATCCAAGGATTCCTAACATATGGAAATGATAAATGTTTGAGGAGACGGAAATGCAAATTACTCTGACTTAATCATTATATCTTGCATATGCATGTCAAATTATATTTTACCCCAAAATACGTATACAAATGTGTTAAATAAAAATAAAAGCCAGTTTTACATGCTGTAAATAATTTATTACAACAATAAGCCAAAATACAAATATATACCAAACTTATAAATAGCTGTTGTTATTTGCTTATAAAACTTCATAAGGGGCCGGGGATTTAGCTCAGTGGTTTCGGCACCTGCTGCACAAGCTCAAGGATCTGAGTTCAATCCCTGGTACCAAAAAAAAAAAAACTTCATAAAATACGTGGGTTTTACTGAATTCTTTTCTCTGTGAGGGGCAAGATTTTATTGAACCAGATAGCAGTTTTTGCAGTTTAAAAAAGTTTAATTCTAATAAACTACATCAGCAGCACTAGAATGAAAACAATGTTCAATAAACTAATAATGCTATAAAAATAAACACTGTAGAAATTTAATTAAAATTCCAGAACAGGTGATAACCACCTGAGGTGAACTAGAATTTCACTATTCACATCCTTAGGAGATGTTTCAGTATACACAATTTAAACATGAATTAGACAGAAATGATTTTTCTAAGCATGTCACATCCTTAGTTCATTTATAATGATTTTATTTCTTTTGGTCATAACAAATCATTCCAATTGTTCTATGTTGTATACTACGTACTATACTATAAATAATGGTGTAATAGTTCACATACATTATTCTATGACATATATTGTTATGGTTTTCATAGTCTTTCAAAAAGTCCTGCAAAGAGTTCTTCATAAAGTATTCTGTCAATAATTATGACTAGTAATTTTTAATCACCTTCCTTTTTAGGTGCTTGGGTGAATTCTGGCCGAGGAGTGATCAAAGAACATAATAATCATTTAATTTGGACTTACGATGCCCCGCATTTGGGCTACTGGGTTGCAGCTCCACTTCCAGGAACTAGAGGTACTTTAACAATGAAAAAATTATTTTCAAAATAAATACAGATATCGTGCTGGAGTTTATATCATTCAGCCTCTATTTTATTCAAGGCATTGTCACTTACTGGCAGTATGACACTGGAGAAGGCATTTAATCCCAGCTTTCTTTTTGTTTTGGTACCAGGGATTGAACTCGACTCCTTGCGCTTGCACAGCAGGCAGCAAAACCACTGAGCTAAATCCCCTGCTCTAATCCCAGCTTTCTTTTTGATTAGTGTATGTTTGCACCCAGAGCATGATGCTCATTTTGGGGACTTGTACATGCATATGACATCTTGATCATTTTTGATTCACTTACCCACCCTCTTATCAGCCCCACTCTTCCCCATCTCCAGCAAGGTATTGTTTCCTACCATCTTTCTTTTAGGTTTCTCAGATAAGACAAACCATGTGATATTTAACTTTCTGCATCTGACATACTTCTCTTGGCATCATGGACCTGAGTTCTGCCTATTTTTCTGCATATAACATGATTTCACTTTTATTGATGGTTGGTTGATGTTGTGGTGTGTATATATATTGCATTTTCTTTATTCATTTTCAAAAAATGTATATATGAAACCACTAAGGTCCATGAACTCTAAGGACCCGTAGCTATAATATCTGATGAGTCCATGAAGAATGAAGTTTGTTCATGCACATGTTTGCTCAGAGTATGTCTCAGTCCTTTTTTTGTTGCTGGGATGCAGTACCCAACACCCACAACTGAAAGGAGGAGAGGTTTATTTTGGCCCACAATTGCAGTCCTCAGCCTGTGGCAAGGCAGGACAGCATGGCAGAGGGGCATAGCAGAGGAAAAGCTGCTCACCTCATGGGAGCCAGGAAGCAGGGAGAGTCAAGGAAGGAGGTGGGAAGGGAGATAGACCTTTGCAAGCCACACCCACAGTGACCCCCTCTTCTGACCAGACCCCACCCCCTGACAGCAAGTCAGCTATAAGCCCCCATAATCCAGTCACCTTTCAAACACATGAGACTTTGGGGCCACTTTAGATCTAAGCCGTAACAGTGTACTTTTAATGCAAATGAATTCTGTCCAGATCAATTGGAGTTTTTTTGTTTACAAGCAGTAGAAACAGGTTTTGGGTAATTTCTGGAAAGGTGAAAAATGCATGGGGAGTTTACAGGATCCTAGGGGAGGCTTAAGAACTGGATGGAAAGAGGCCACAATCCCTGCGGCTCCCGAGGGCCAGGTGAGCAGGCCGGCTTGGCTGCTTCGCCAGGTGCCGCTGGGTGTGGCTGACAGCAGCTTTTTCTAGTCTTCCCATCATCCTCTTCTGATCCCTCTGGGGACCTGAGTCTGGTTGACTTGTCCTTGCATTGTGAGCGCATGCCTTGGTCTGCTTGCGGGGTCAGAGGGTGGAAGACTCTTGATTAACTGTTTCCAGACTGCTTTGAAGAGAAGGAAGTTGATAAACCAAATGAAAACTGACCTGACATTTGGAACAAGAAGGTGGATGGGAGCAGGTGGCCAGAACCGAAGAACTGTCCATTAGGGATGATCCACCCATACTCTAGGAGAAATGAGTGTCTCATTTACTTACATTTAATAGCATGACATTATTAAGATAATTTGAACCTAAGGAAACTCTCATTCAGTATATTTCTCAAAAATATCAAACATTGCATTTTTAATCCATTAAATCTTCATGAGTAAAGAGAAAGCCTCCTGCTGGCTGTCATCTAAACTGACTGAACTGTCACTTTGTGGGCCCTTTGAGTGTCTTCTGGCATAAATGGAGTAGCTTCTTGGCTTTCCCTACCCACCAGCTATGCTAAGTTAACTTTCTTGCCTTCAGCATTTTTTTTGCTCATTGTCTTTTATCTTTGTAGGTTTGGGTATTTACAATGAAAAGAAAGCAAAACTTTTAGTGTCAATTTAGTGAGGATTTGGGATTGTCAGTTAAGGGCCATATCATTCTTCCGTCTTCACTCATGTGTCAGAGCTGATTCTTTTTTTTTGTACCGTGGATCAAACTTGGGACCTTGCGCTTGCAAGGCAGGTGGCAGAACCACTGAGCTAAATCCCCGGCCCTCTTTTGTTTTTTTAAGTGCTTTGTCTCCCAGCTGAGGGTCAGCTGCCACCTGACTGTTCCATGCTGGTCAATGGTGGCCCCAGTATGCACCCGGATCCAGGATGTAGATGACATTTTACATGCATTTCTCTGTGGTATTCTGTCATCCGCCTTTAACTGTTTTCTATTTTGAAGACTTAGTTTTCACCAAGCAATTTTTTAACAATCCAGTTTGTTTTCGATTTTCATTTTAAATTGTAAACCATGCAACCAAATAAGGGGTTTTTTTCACTGAAACTAACATTTAGAATTCCATTAAAAGAAATATGAGCCATTAACCAATGCAATCAAGAAGAATAATTCTTTTTATTTCTGTTTGAAGTTAGTTCTTACAGGATTATTTATTCAGAAACCAGAAGGTGGTTACCTTTGTTCTTTATAATGCAAAATATCACACAGTCTTGCCAGCTGCCTGCCTTATTCTATTTTAGATTTGCAACTATAATGAAATATTCATGAAAAAACACAATTAATATTTATTAATACTTCAACTCAACTAAATCTTATTAATAAAAATAACCTAAGGAGCATTTGGGTTCCCTAGAGAAAAATACTTGCAGTAAAAATATACCTGAAACAATCAGTTTGTATAAGATGATTTTATGAATTGCAAAAGCCAAAATCATTTTCTAAAAGAAGTAGAAGTTCTCTTCCAGCTTATCTGTTGGAAAAGATTTTGTGTGGGCCACAGTACTCAGACAGAACTGTGGGATTTTTCGCTTGGCTTGAATTAGACACCTTCTAGAGATGCTTTTGAGCAGTGTATTCTGCGAGCAGATCCTGAAGCAGCACTGAGCTACTAGAGGTACAGATAACTTGCAAGCAGCTCTGGCTTTGCTTGTAATTAATGGGGTGCGCTTGAATAGGTACGTACCCATCTGAGTGTTAGTTTTCTCGCTTTTAACCTTGGGCTCGCCTATTGTATTCATCAGTTCAGGTTGCCATAGCAAAATACCACAGGCTGGGTAGCATAAGTGGCAGAAATTCTGTTCTCTCAGTTGGGAGGCTGGAAGTCCCAGATCAGGGCTGAAGAGGTGTCTCTTGGTGGTCTTCTTGCAGTGTGCTCTGTGTGTTGTGTTCTCCCGAGACCATGTGGAAAGAGAGACAGCTGTGGAGTCCTCTCTTCATACAGTGAGCTCTCTTCTATTTGACTAGGGCTCAACCCTCATGACTTCACTGAACCTATGTCACCTCCTATGGGTCCTGAGTCAAACACAGTGTCACTGGGGGCTAGGACTTCAACACATGAATTTTAGGGGCAGGGAAAAAAACTATTCTATTCATCACAGAACACTTCTGATAACAATGTATATGTATGTGGGGGGGCGGTTCCTCACACCAAAGATTTCTGCAGTAAAGACACATTGCCATTAATTCCCCTCACAATACTCAAAATATTCCTCCTCACTTTGAACACATTTATTCCACCCTTCTTGGAAGTGTGTCTTTTACTATAATAAAGTTTTTTTGAAAAAATTTTTAAACATCCCCTGCATTTTTCAGTCATTCCTTGTATAATCAGACTTTATTGCAGCACTTGGTCCAGCAAGAGATTGTCCAGCTAGGATTAAGTTACTTGTAGTATTTTTTAATTTACTTAAAGAAATTGGATATTACATAGTACTAGGTTTATTTGTCTGTGAGATGTGGTGCACACTTTATTTTTTATTTTGTTTTTGGTACCAGGGATCGAAATCAGGACCTTGCACTTGCAAGGCAGGCACCGAAACCACTGAGCTAAATCCCCGGCCCAAGAGCACACCTTATTATCAGTCACCATCTGTGAAAATGGCCAATACAAAAGTGCCTATGTATAAGCCTAAACTTTCAGTAACAACATCTGTTAACACTTGTAAGTGCTTATTAAGGCCAGACAGTTATGAATGCCTCACTATTGTTAGTTTATATAATCTGCAGTGGTCCACATGGGCTATGTATGACAGTTTTATTGCTGCTTTACAAGTAGAGGAACTGAGATATGAAGACATGAAGCCGCCCCAAAACTCCAGTCTGTGTGCATAACCGCAATGCTGCTTCTCCAGATCTGTTAATATTACCATTATTATGTTACTTTTATTCAATTAGATGATGAAAAGTTTAAAGGACACACTTAGGACCTGATGACACTCCATTCTCTTCCAAGGTCCTCGGTGCAGTTAGGATCCTAATTGTGGACATTTTCTCCAGCTGGAGATGGACAGAAAATCAGTTGTCTCTCATGTACATTCGAGTCTAGTTGTGAGTGGCGAGTGGACTACATACTGTTCTGAGGAAAACGAAGTCTTAGTGATATTAAAGCAGATTACCTCAAGATTGGTGGCCAGGCAGCTTTCATTTTTATACAGACTCTTAATAGCTTACACTGATCATCCTGCTGTACTGGGCAGCTTGTACTGCAGTGAAGCTGACCACAAGCATGCGTGTGTGTATGTGTGTGTGTGTGTGTGTGTGTGTGTGTGTGTGCCTGCATGTGCACGTGACCCTCGTAGCCTCTCATCATAGGACATTGAGTCCTCTGTGCTCTTGCTGGGCTCGGTCTATCTGAAATCATGGTGTCCCCGAACTGTGTAACCCAGGCAGAAGGGGTTCCACCTCTTAATCCTTCAAGCCTCAGACTTTTTGGATTCTCTCTAATCTTTACATTCCTGCCTGCATTGGCAAATTCTTTTTGATTTTAATGTTTCTCTTTTTTCTAATGAAATGCAACTAGTAATACTCACTACCAACAATCTAACTCAAAACCTCTTTACATAAAGGTCCAATTAGATGTATTTCTCCCAGTTTATCAATATTTTGCAGTGACAGTTTGGGCCACCGTTTTCAGTGCCTCCTGAAACAGTTGCCTCACTGCACGGTGCCTGATTTGGAAGCTGTTGTCACATATTTTAGAGTTTTAGTAGATTTTAGATTTATAGTAGCACCTCAGTATCCACGTAGTAATTTCTGTAATGCGCAGTTATTGGACACTGTTAAGGAAGTGGAAGGGGATTGGGTGGAGGGGAAGACAAGGGAGCGTAACATGGGATGGTATGATCAAAGTATGTTATGTGCATGTATGAATATTCCACCGGGAAGCCCAGTAGGGTAGTTAATGTGCATTAATAAAGAAAAAATAAAAAGCCATTTCTGGAGTGGCTGCACTGCTGCCTCGGCAGCTGATACTAGTAAACATTGATTTGCTTTGTGTTGGACGAGTGTTTTGAGCTGGCTGCTGTACTGTGGATGTCGCTTGGTTCAGTCCAACTTATTTTCTCATTCCAGAACCCAGGCTGAAAGGGGAGTGACCCTCTGTGGTACCCTTTTCCCGTAGGCCTTAGCAAGAGGACAGAGCCACTCTGTGCAGCCTCCTTTACACTGCATTTGATTAATCCCAAAGGGTAGGGAGCTGTGCTCCATCCACAGGGAAGGCTGCCCGGGGAGGGAAACAGACAAAACTGTGTACACCTGGGCTGCCTCATCCAGGGTTTGACTTAGAATAGTGTTTTCTCTTTTTTCCTTTGTTTATATTGAACTCTGTAGGTTCAAATCTAAGTGAAGATTCCAAGGACATAACAGCCTACCACACAGTGTTTCTTACAGCCATATTAGGAGGAACAATAGTCATCATCATTGGATTTTTTGCTGTACTCCTTTGTTATTGCAGGTAAGAACATCGATTAACGTGTATAAATACAGAAAATATCAAATTATAGTATCATTTTAGTACATTCTGTGTATTGCAAAGTTTATAGAGGTGAATGTAGTCTTTAAGATATGTAGATTAGAGATCAAAACCAATGTATCCTAATAGTAGCATTGCATAGATGATATGCAATTGTCAAAGCTGAGCCTTCTAGATCTTCACTCTGAAATAGCTTTGTATTCTCTTCAATTATAGGGGCAAGTGTGGTACTCCACCAAAAAGAGAAAGAAATATCACTAAACTTGAAGTCCTCAAGAGAGACCAGACAACTTCAACAACACACATTAATCACATTAGTTCAGTCAAAGTTGCACTAAAGTCTGAGGACGAGTCACAGTTATTCAATGCCCATAACTCCTCATACAGCCCTCAAAAGAAGGAGCTATCAAAGGGACAACCAGAAGAAAGAGTTTCCATGGTAAAAACTCGGGATAATTTTAAAATCTACAATGAAGATGTTTCATTTCTACCAGTCAGTCCGAATAGTTACTCAAGAAGACCAACACAGTCTTTGGAGCCCAATATGGGGACCAAACAACCTAAGCACATCAACAGCAACCTGTCTTCCTCATCAGGAGATGCTCTTGAGGAGAAGCGGTATTTCACAGGGAATGAGGAGGGGTTTGGGTGTTCCCAGATTCCAGAGCAGCTTATGCATATCTACAGCCAGCCCATAGCCATCCTTCAGACATCCAACCTTTTCTCCACTCCGGAGCAATTACACACTGCAAAGTCAGCTACTTTGCCAAGAAAAGGACAGTTAGTCTATGGCCAGCTGATGGAGCCAGTGAACAGAGAGAACTTTACACAGACACTGCCCAAAATGCCAATGCATTCTCATGCCCAGCCCCCAGATGCCAGGGAGGAGGACATCGTCCTGGAAGGTCAGCAGAGCTTGCCATCCCAGACTTCAGATTGGAGCCGGTATTCCAACAGCTTACTGGAATCCGTCTCTGTTCCCGGGACACTGAATGAAGCCGTCGTAATGACTCCATTTTCATCAGAACTTCAAGGAATTTCAGAACAGACCCTCCTGGAGCTGTCCAAAGGAAAGCCCTCCCCTCACCCCAGAGCTTGGTTTGTGTCTCTTGATGGAAAGCCAGTCGCACAGGTGAGGCACTCCTTCATAGACCTGAAAAAGGGCAAGAGAACCCAGAGCAATGACACAAGTCTAGACTCTGGGGTGGACATGAATGAGCATCACTCAAGCCGGAAGCTTGAGAGGGAGAAAACATTCATCAAAAGCATGCATCAGCCCAAGATCCTGTACTTAGAAGATTTAGACCTGAGCAGCAGCGAGAGTGGGACCACTGTCTGTTCTCCTGAGGACCCTACTTTAAGGCACGTCTTGGAAGGAGGGAGTGGAGTTATCATGGAGCACCCCGGGGAAGAGTCCCCTGGAAGAAAAAGCACTGTTGAAGATTTTGAAGCCAATACTTCCCCCACGAGAAAGAGGGCCAGACCGCCCTTAGCCAAAAGAGACAGCAAGACTAACATCTGGAAGAAGCGAGAGGAACGCCCACTGATCCCCATGAATTAGTTCCAGGGCTGGCTGTGTCCCTGCCTCTTGTGTTGTGTATTCTTGCTTCTTGTTGTGAATCTCAGTATGAACTTCTTAAGAAATTGGGACTGAGCCATCTTAGGGTCCCAGGACATGTCTCAGGCAGATGCTTTTTCTGGCCTATTCTTTTCATTTATGTTTTGAGTGATGAATTTAAAGTATCTAAATTTTCAAAATGTAAAATAGTGTTGAGATGTGCATTACCCATTTGGCAATTTGGTACTGACTCTTCTACGAGTGAGACAGTGAAATGTGTGCTCCCAAAGCTGCTCCCCCAGATGCTGTCTCTGCCTTGATGATTACCCCCAGGGACATTGAGAAATGAAACTCTTCTCTGGGCCTCATCCACGTGAAATGTTACTGTTACGTCCTCCTCTGCCTATGCTTAAAAATAACCTGATCAAAGTTTGGACTGGTGTTATCCTACAGTTTAAAGACCAAGTAACACTTTCTTTGTTTGAGATAAATAGCATGTGTGTTGTATCACCCTAAAGTAAACCCTACACTCATACAAGGTGGGCAAGAGGCTTTTTGGTCATTAGACAGAGAGACATCAGCTCTTGGGTTGTTTTTGGCTATAACTTTGTAGAATAAATAAGGAATCAAGTTGTTATATAGAAATTTGAGAAGTGAATACTCTGATACTGGATTTTTATTTTTAAACTTTTCTTTTTCCTCCCATCAAAGATTAAGTGACCTTAGCTATCAAGGAAGTTTTCTTTTTTTACCAATTCAAAAAACAAAACAGCACAAGATGAAACTATGATATGCGTAAGTTAAAATCAGTTTTGACATACTCCAAAAACCCAACCTTAGTCACTTAAAGGCCAGCAAACTTGATTTTTTTTTTGGTACTGGGGATCGAACTCGGGTCCTTGCGTTTGCACAGCAGGTGGCGAAACTACTGAGCTAAATCCCCGGCCCAGAAAACTTGATTTTAAAGATGATATGAGAGTTGTTTTTGAATGTTGAAAAGTTAACAAAATATGTAAAGATAAAGGAAATAAATGTTTCACCTCAATGAGAAGAAAAAAGCCATTTTTCGGGATACTAATTAGAAATGTTGACATTTTTAAAGGAAAAGACATTTTTGAGGAAAAGGGGTTCAATTTCAGGAGAAGAATAAATTTTTCCTTATATCACTTGTAGCCTCTGCAACTTTTTCTGCTTGGTTTTAGAAGCATTACATCAAAATCTTTTTAATCATAGCGAAGAATTTAATGTGAACACATTCAATATTTGTTTTCAATTATATCTTCAACTCTGAAGTATCATTCATATGTCCTAAAAATAAAAGCTCTTGTAAATTAAAATTAATCCACTCCATTTTTCCTAAAAATTTCCGAGAAGACATGTCTGAAACATCTTTCCCTTTCCCTTGGTGGGAAAGTAATGAAACTAAATTGCTTTTCTTTTTAATCATCCCCTACTATTCAACACAGGAGCAACATAGAAACTCAAGCCACCTAAACAAGTTGAAACAACCA